AGCAATGCTGCACAGTAGAAATATAATGTGAGCCACATCTGTAATCTAGAATTTTCTAAGGGCCACATTAAAAAAATAAAGCATATTTATTCTTAATATTTCAAATTTTATTTTACATAAAATATTTTATAACTAAAGAAAATATTTTAATTTTTATTTATTCTATCTAAACCAACTTATTATCATTTCAACAGTCAACATAAAAATTTATCAAGTTGATATTTCACCTTTTTTCATACTAAATCTTCAAATTCATTGTTTATTTTACAAAAAGCTCATCTCGACTGTACACTAAATTTTCAATGGTTCAAGTGAACTGCAGTCCTATGAAAGCAGTAAAGTTGTGTTTAATGGAAAAATATTTTTAAATAATTCATTTAAAAAATTTAATTATAATTAAATGAAATTGAAAATTCAGTTTCTTGGCTGCATGAAGCACATCACAAGTATTGAATAGCCATTTGTTGGCTACCATAATGGGTAGTATAGACCTAAAGGATTGTCATGTTGAAGTATTCACATGAGGTAAACACATTAGCACTTCCCATTAGCCTTACTAAAGAAAAACATTGAAGGAAGAACTCTAAACCAAATCCAAACCGTAACCAAAATGAAGCACTTCTGTGGGAGAAAATATCTGTCAGAACAAAGATCCTTCTGTATGACCCATCTTGCATAAAATGCAAATTACACTAGCTTTTGATTTAGATAATATGTGAATGTGAGTTCCTCCACATATGGTCTGGAGAGTCAACATCGGCAATACAAAAGATTTGCTCTTGAAAATCAGACTAGACCTTCATATTCTCTCTCTGACACTCTGGGTTTGAATCAAAGGAAATTTATCTGTAAATGATAATAAAAACATCAATATGTTTGATATTAAAATAAAGGGGTGGAAAAAGTTACAGTGTCATTTATAATGCCCAAATATTTAGCTTAATCATGTAATAATTTACTTAGATTTTCAAAGATTGAAGATAGCCATGTATATATATCACTGCTTCAGTGACAATAATATTGGTTCTTTCACCACATGGAGAAATAAATATACAAACTTGTGTTCAGCTAATAAAGTTTCATTAGCCTATATACAATACTTTCTCCCCTCTTAAAAGAAAAGCCCTCTTTGACACAAATCCCTCTAGCTATTTCCCTATTTCACTACTTCCCTTTATTGAAAACCTCCTCAAAAAAAGTTCTCTAACACCACTTTCCACAAATCCTCTCCTTCTATTCTCTTACTCTCTTGAACCCACCTGAATGATTTTCACCCCATCACTTCTCTGAAACTGGTCTTTCTTTTCAGTAACCTCCATATTGATGAATCCAATGATCAGTTCTTAGTAAGACCAGATCTTATTTAGATTATTTCTCTCTTTCCTGAAACTTTTTTTGTTTCAGAAGAAACACAATCTCCTAAGTATTCGTCTGTCTCACAAATTCCTTTACTGATTCCTCCACTTTCCCCCACACATAAACATTAGCATGCATTAGGACTGAACATAGGATTCAGTCCTTAGAACTGTTGTATATATACAGTCACTTGCAGGATGATTCCATCTAATTTCAAGACTTTGAATATTATCTCTTTGTGGGCAACACTAGCCTTTAAAGTCTGGAACTTTATCCTAGATCCAGGCTCATATATTCAAAGGGCAGGTTGGCTTCTCATTTGGATGTCTTAAGGCAACTTTTTTTTTTTAATTTTAATAATATATTTTATTTAATATTATCAAATATTATAATTTTAACATGCAATCAGTACAAAATTTATTAACATGATGTTTTTCATTTTTTTTTATATTAAGTTCAAAATCTGTTGTGTATTTCACACTTACAGCACATCTCAATTTCTGCCAACCACATTTCAAGTACTCTGTATGTAGCTGGTGGCTCTTGTATTGGACAGCACATGTCCAGAAATACTGTATGAGCAAATGCATGTGAACTTCAAAGTTTTCTGCAGAAAATGTTTCATTTGATTTTTCTTCAAGAAGTTTATGTCTTTACTGATTCAGTGTATGTTGTCTTTTATAGCAGATTCCACAAATGAAATGGGTGGTTGGTCTCTGTTCCAAATACCTTAAACATTACTCTTTGTTTCAAGTTTCCTCATCTGTAAAATGGAGATACAATAGAAGCTATCCTACTGGGTGTCATGAAGACTGAATGTGTTAAAAAATATGCAAAATACATATATAAATTAAAGCATTTAGAAAAGCACCTGGCATATTGTAAACATGCAATGAATATTGGTTATTATTTCCTTCTTTCCTGATTCTTTGACAGAAGTATACATAATCAGTGTCAGCAGCAGGAATGGAAGCTTGCAGGCTTTGTAATGACTAAAGTAATTAAAATGAATGTTAGGTGTAAGAATTATTTTGGGACATATTTAAATCTGTATGAACATTAATAATTTTTTAAATCACTGTTTCATTCCGTAACTAAAAGTTGTTAATATAGAATGCTTGAATTCAAACAAACCATTATTTTAATAATACTAAACAAGGTTTGTTTTAAAATTGAGTATTTACTGAATGCTTTTATTGTCTAAGGCACTGTATTGAGAGCTTTTATGTGCGGTATCTCATTCAATCTTTACCATAACCCTAGTGTAGGGCACTATTATTAAGCTCATTTTAAAGATGTGGAAACTGAAGCTCAGGAAAGCTCTGGCCAAGGTCATAGAGCCCACAAATTGCAGAGGTAAACAGACACCAACAGCACTGGTGGAGTGTTAAGGCATCCTAACTTAAAATCAGGCTTCTCATCTTCCTCCTCAAGGTATTTCCCATGTCATCAATGACCAGTCATTCTTCTAGTTGCTCAGGGCAACAACCTCAGAGTAATCCTTCACCCTTCTTACTCTCCTTCTCTACATCCAAGCTGTTGCTTTATTTTGCATTTATTTGATTATTAAAGAATTAAATGTTTCCAAATGTACGTTTACTCTTTATATTTTATCTATTAAATAATTGTTCACATCTTTGTGCCAAATGTATAAAATAAGGTATATTCAGAGAAGTTCTCTGTCTCCTCCTCCCCCCCTTCCCTCCACTCCACTGTAGGCAACCATTTTTCTTCCACTTTTTGGCTTCTCCCCCTCCTGTTTTTAACTATAAACAAATATGTTAATATACTGCTATTTCTTTCCCTCTTTTCTTAGATGAATGGCAGTTTATTATACACACTTTTCTTCAACTTGCATTTTCTTCACCTAAAAAGCTGTCCTGGGTACCTCTATGTAGTGTGTAGAGATCTATCTCCTTTTTTTAAAGGAGCATAATACTACATTGAGTGTATTTAATGTAGTGTATTTAGTGTATTTAATTAAACTACATTTAAATGTATTCTCATTTAAATTCAGCCATTTCTTTGTTTATGGGCATTTGGCACTTATTGGCCTTGTTCATACGTCTTTTAATATTTTTATAGTGTATCATCCGGATGATCTCTAGAAATGGGATTGGTAGGTAATTAGGTAAACTCAGGTACAATTTTGCTAGACATTGCATATCACTTTTCTATCAAAAACATATAAGAATACCTATTTTCCCAGAACCTTGGCAAGTATTTTGTTTAAACATACCAAATTTCTCAATGACGTTTCATTTTCTCATCAGTGAAACTGAACACATTTTAATATGTTCAAGGGCCATTTGTATTTTTTCCCTATGAACTATCTGTTGCCTATTCTTCTATCAGGATGTTGTCTTTATTTTCTTGCCCTCTGCTTCCTCTTACATAGTTATAAATATCACTGGCTTCTTTCTACCCTCAGTGGTTGGACTCCATCCACATATACTTTATAGTTTTGAGGATTTCTTGTCATCTAGTTTGTTTGCTTGTAAACTTTTAATTTGATATAATTTCAGATTTATAAAAAAAGTTGCTAAAATAGCACAAGGAATTCCCATTTGCCCTTTACCTAGATCATCAGTTGGTATATTTGGTCCCACTTATTTTCTCTCTCTCTCTCTCTCCACATATATATATATTTACTTACAAACACACAACATACAACTTCAATATATATTTCCTAAGAACAAAGACATTCTTTTGTATAACCACAGTAAAACTATCAAAAATCAGAAAATGTAACATAGATAAAATGCTATTATCTAATCCACAGTTCATATTCAAATTTTGTCAATTGTCCTAACATTTACTTCTTCTGCCCAATATAGAATCCCATCCAGGATCATGGATTGCCGATAGGTGTCATGTCTCTTGCCTCATTTAATCTTGCACAGCTTTTCTGTCTTTGTTTTTCTTGATCTTAACATTTTTTGAAGACTACAAACCAGTTATCTTGTAGAATGTCCCTGCATTTAATGTATCTGGCACGTTCTTGTTAGAGTAAACTTATGCATTTTGGGCAAGATCACCACAGAAAATATATATACTTTTCAGTATCAGGAGAAATATGAGGTTGGTTTGTCCTATTACTGGCATTGTTACCTTATATCACTTACTTAAGGAAGTATCCACCAGGTTTCTTCACTGTGAGGTTACTTTTCCCCTGTGTAATTAATGAGTTATTTGGGGGGAAATATCTTGTATTACATAAATATCCTGTTTTTCACCAAGCTTTCACCCACTAGTTTCAGCAACCATTAATGATCTTCTAATTGTATTATTTCTTCTGTACTTGTTAGTTGCCACTCTACTTAAGGAAGAGCTTTCTTTTATCACTCCTTTATTTACTTATTTGTATTTTCTGATTTATATCAGCTTGGACAAATGGATTATTACTTCATAATCTATTCCTATCATTATTTCAATTTATCTCAAATTATTCCAGATTTGTCCAAAGGGAGACATTTAAGTTGGTTCCTTTGCCCTTTAATTATATATCTATCATATTTTTAACACTTTATTAGTTTCTAACACAACAAGATATTCCAGACTCCTTTTGTATCTTCCATGATTCAGACCTGGAATCAATTATTTCCCTCCAAAGTACCCTTTGGTAACCAAAAAGATGTACCTACTTGGGCCAGGACTTCAGAGAAATTCCAGAGCACCTCCGCAGGAACTGTGGACGTTTCACAAAGAGGCTCTGTCTCATCTTCAGCCTTCTGAGAACTCCTATGGAAGAGCAAGGGAGAAATATGTCTTGGGAAAGAAAATGGTTTCGCTGTCAAAACTAGGAGATGGTGCTGGTTCTCTTGGCTCTTTAGAAACTCCAAAAAATCTGCTGGATTTTTATTTTATAATTTCACAATTCTTATTTTTCAAAATTATTTTTATATTTGCATTTCTCATTTTATGATTTGCTTCTAGATTTTAAAAATATTCCTTTTTTCCCACTTTTTGCTGTTTAGTTGTTATTCAATTTTTTCCTTTTGATTTTGATCATTTTTTTGGACTAGATTATATTAAGCCAACCCTTCCACCAAGAATGACTGCTATATCTGTGTAAAACATTTTTTAAAAATCTGTTTGAAGGCATTAGTTAAGAAATCAGCAAGGACCAGAGGAGTCAATGTTTCCAAAGAGGATGAACATAGATAAGTGAATCCAATATTCTACTTTTGAAGCATTTTCCAATCTATAAAACACAGCTGAGAGACTGAGAAGCTGAGCATAAAATAGTAGGTAGGAGGCTGAGAAGCTGAACAGAGCTTTCAGAGGTCATAAGAGGCTGGAGGAACAAAAATTAGAGGTTAGAAATCACAAGGAGATGGGACATTGGTTAACAGCCCAGGATTCCACTGAGACCATTGAAGATTTACATCTTGGAAGGAGTAAGGGCAAAACAGAAATAAAACCCCCTTCACAAATACTGAAATATGTCTCTGAATTAGGGCAATTGATTTGATTGATTTAAGATTATCAACTCCTTTATTAATTTTTACCAACACAAAGAAAATCCTATGTGGAGCATTATAGCATCATCAGAACCTCAAATTATATTTATAAGAATTGATAATCAGTGTTTTTCACTCCAGCAAAAAATGCTGCACTCCAGGAAACAAGACCAAATGACCAAAAGAGAAAGAAAAAAACATAATGTAGAAATAGACCATATGATCCAGACATTGGATTTAACTAGACATCAACTCTAAAATAAATGGTATACTGAAATAACATGATAAACTAGAGAAAAAAATTAAGAATTTCAGCTGAGGACTGGAAACTCTGAAATGGAAACAAATGGAAAATTTAGAAATAAGAAAACTAAAATTAAGACTCAGTAAATGAGTTTGACAGAAGATGACCCAAAGTAAGAATTAGTGAACTGGATTAGTGATCAGAAGGGAACAAATATTCATGCCAAATCACAGAGAGACAAAAAATTGGAACATACAGGGCTTCCTTGGTGGCGCAGTGGTTGAGAGTCCGCCTGCCGATGCAGGGGACGCGGGTCCGTGCCCCGGTCCGGGAAGGTCCCACATGTCGCGGAGCGGCTGGGCCTGTGAGCCATGGCCGCTGAGCCTGCGCGCGTCCGGAGCCTGTGCTCCGCGACAGGAGAGGCCACAACAGTGAGAGGCCCACGTACCGCAAAAAAAAAAAAAAAAAAAAATTGGAACATACAGAAAAGAGGACAAGAGAATGGGAAGAGAGAACATGTGGTGTTACCACAGCCTAGAACCCCAGGATGTCCCTTGAGAGCTAGAATCACAGCGAAGACCACCTGTTGAGAGTCAGGACATAAGTAGGGAAGTGGTATCTGAGTAGGAGCAGAAGTCATGGATGATCCCCAGAAACTACAAAGATATCATACTGAGGAGACCTGCCCTGGTTTCTGTTCATCTTCCACCCACCAATATTTCAAGTATTCAACACAGAAGCCAATGTGCAGGGAGCATGGGAAATGTAGCTCCCTATGTTACAGAGTGTGTGTATGTGAGGGTGGATGGATATGAAAGAAAATTATCAGTTAGCCTTGCACAGATGCCAACTTTTCAAGTTTCCAGGGATAAAGCTAATTTACCCTGCACCTATTTTCCTACTTACTTTTGACCACTTTAATAGGGAACTGAGAAAAATAGAGTTTGATGCCTGTGCTCAGGATGATATTTTATCCAGATTTCCAAGATAGAGTTTATTTTGAGAAAAGCATATTGAGATTAATCCAAAAACTACCAGGGAATCAAACATTTCAACTGAGCTGATGAATTAAAGTACATTTTTGACTATTTTGGGACTAGTGAGTGAATTTTTTCATCAGCAAAAATATGTAAACTAGTTTGTGTTCCTAAATGCAACATAAGCTCAGATACACCTTTTCTCACCAAAGAAGTTACACTTATCTTTCTTCTTGGTGTTTACTTTGTGGAATAGGATGTATGTGAAAACGTAGCTTCTCATAGAAAAATGGTTCATTGTATTCTGATAAAGTGTCTTCAAACGTTTTCTTTCTTTTTTTTTTTGGTAAATTACATATTATCCTCTGTAGTACTGAATATTGAATTTCAGGTACAAACTGAAATGTCATTCAGAAGTATTTGACTTGAAACAATTTGGAGGAAATTATTTTAAGTGAAACTGCTTTTCAGGCAATGAAAGAAATACTGGAACTTTGGAAATTGACTAAATATATTATTCTTTTCAAGTAATGAGCTCTCTAAAATGAATTGGTAATCAAAAATTATGCTACTTTTGCTTTTTGCATAACTGGCTAGCAGGTAATGAGTGTGATAATGTCCTCTTTGAACTAGGGCCAGGACTCTAAGCTATAACATCGAGTAAAGGGTAATTATGTTCTTTAATTTTCAAACTGGTTCAATCTCTAGCACCTACCATGTACCAGTCATGGTACTAAGACTTACAAAGATAAGTAAGACAGTATCTAGTCTTAAATTGAAAGCAATCTAGTGGAAGGGGTAAATTATTAATAGATACTAACTTATGAGGTATAATTAGTACAGTATAATGAAAGATACATAAATATGAGGTTTTTAAAAAAGCATTCATTGTATAATGCTAAATAGAAAGAATAGGAATTAAAATTATGTTCATAGTGTATTTCTAATTTGTTGAGCAGATAAATAGAATTCTATAAAATCATCCACTGTTCAAAGCAGTTACTCATGAATTATGTGATTAAAAGTTGTATATTCTTTTAAACATTTCTATATTTTTCAAATTATTTTATTTTTTTCTTTCACAGTGAGTATGGATTAAACTTTAATTAGAAAAAAATAGAACCTGTTAAAAGATGAATCTATCATTCACTAAAAATGGCATTTCTTTGTTTTAAGGAAGGGCTTGGGAAATGACAACCAGCAGGCAAATCCAGCCTACAGCCTGTTTTTATTTTATGGCCCGTTATAGATAGAGGTTGTGAAACCTTGCCCTAAAGAACGCAACCAACAAATATGTATTCCACCAAGACCCTTTATTTGTCTCTACTTTATGGAGAAGAACTGGGGAAAACCATCAAGATACACTACAAATTATTCAGAGTTCAGAAATTGTCTCAAGGTCATTTATTCAGGCTAGAGCTAACCTTCCTGAACATCACTTTAAGCCAAGCAGTTTATGTGGGTTGTTGGATTTAATTCTCAAAACAATATTATGCAGCATACTTTTTATTCAACTTTTAATGATAATCAAATTGAGGCATGGAGAGATCATAGCCATAGCAAGAAGTGAAGCCAAAATTTAAATCCAGGCAAACTATTCCAGGGCCACAGTAGAGCCTTCTCCATCTGAGGGAATTTGAAATGCTACATATCTCCTGAATGGAATGGAAGTTGGCCTTGGATTTAGGCTTTTCAAGGTAGTTATCTAAGGATCCATCACTGAACTTAACTCCTATCTCTAATTGGAAATAAAATGCAGCTGTAATCAGCTCTATAGATCAAAAAATTCGTCTGCAAGTTGGCTGCATTCTCATGGTAGATGGACTTGGTAAAGTGCTCTGAACTGACAGAATATACATAAAAATGAGATTTTTTTTTCACCCTGGAGATTTTCAATTTGAAGAAGTTAATAAATTACAAAGGCTTGCAAATCAAAATCATTAGAAGTATTCTCTCATTAAGAGTTCATGTCTGATTAATGATAATAAAGAAAAGAAATTAGCATGATATTTATGTGGCTACTGCAAGCGTTTCCATGGAGATTTCATCACCTTTATTATAATCTAATGTAATAATAATATGACTTTAAAAATCCTTTGCTTGCTATTTCAATGCCCAACTTTTGAATTAAAAGCATGCGAGATAACTGTAAATCCACTGTGAGGTCTCACATTTCTTTATAAAACCTTTTTTCTTGAGATCCCTCCCAGATATGAGAAACTAAAAGTATACCAAAATACAGACAAACAAAAAAATTCTAGACAAAAGTACAGTATGAAACCATAGTGTGTTACCATGGTATGAACTATCAGCTCTCTGACACAATAGAAATATAAAAGGGTTTTAGTTTTGTTTACACAATTTGAATTTTCCTGATTTTATAACCCAACAATGCTAATTATAAAGTAACTAAGATGTTTCCATTTGAGTCAAGAAATTTATTTTTATGAAGTGTGACAAAGCATTTAATGGATTTTTTTTCACATTTTTTCTGGGTACACTGGTGTCATATATACAAACTGAATCCTGGTTATTCCTTAAATATGCCAGATGATTCTTTTATGGGTGAGGGATACAGGTTGGCATTATAGTCATGGAAAAGAATTACCTGTCCCAGGGTTTAAGAAATGTCTTTTTGAAGCATTGCTAATACAACATCCTCTTTTTAGTCATTTGAATGATGTAAAAGCCAATAAGACGATATGCCAAATTTCTGTGAATAACAAAATAAGTTGTATTAAGAAAGGTTTTCTTCCATATCTGGTTCTAAGAGAATTGTAAATCTTTGTTCAAGGGCTTTCTTTGGAGACTATATCCATGATCATTTCTGGCCTTGTAATCTAAAAGTATTTAAGGGTAAAAAAGTCATTCAAAGATCTATGTTATTCTAAAATAATTCTCTGGTACCCAAAGCCATTTTTCATAGGTTATTAGTGACCTCACGTGAATAACATATGAACACTATTTGCTTGTTTACTTATCTAAGACAAATGATGATTCTTATACCCACTAGCGACATTTTCAGATGATCACTGATTTATTATTATGGAGTGTGAA